TATATATATATATATATATATATATATATATACAAACAGTTCTGTCTGGTTCTTGAATCTGATTGGCTGATAGCCATGCAATATTTTGCCAGTAACATCACACAAAGGCCGCTTCACCCTTCACCCCTGTGTATTACTCCGCCCACATACAGCCTTATATATGAATTTTTATATATATATATAAAAGACACATTCAGGTGATAAATTAATTAATAATTAAACAAAATACTTTGTTCAATTATTTGCATGTACATATCCACTTACCAGAGATCGTGTCCCCTGTATGTACTTTATCTTCTTCCTTATCATCATCAAATTCTAGATCATCAAATTCCACATCGTCATCTTCTTCTTCTTCCTCATCATAATTATCTTCATCATCATTTTCTTCCTCATCATCATCGTCCTCATCATCATCTTCCTCCTCATCATAATCATCTTCATCATCATCTCCTTCCTCATCTTCATCTTCCTCCTCCTCCTCCTCCTCATCATCATCATCATCATCCTCGTCATCATCATCATCATCATCATCATCTTCCTCATCTTCATCTTCATCTTCATCTTCCTCCTCCTCATCATCTACATCATCATCATCATCATCATCTTCGTAATCGTCTTCATAATCTTCATGTTTCATAATGACCAAAATGAGAGTCACAATAAATGCCAAACATTTGAAAACATTTGCTTTATGTCACATCAACAAACTCTCCAAATGAGATGAGTGCATGTTTATGAAAAATATAACAGCAAATACTGGGAAAATTGTAAATAAAAGACACTCGGAAAATACCTTGAATTTGACTGAAGGGCCAATAATGTTGCCCACATACAATAATCGATGTGGTCAACAGCCATAATTAATAGTGCAGAATCAGACTGCTGCAGTCTGTGAGTGTTTGTTAGATTAGTGGATGTTAGATTAGTTTAGACTGACCTTCACCGGATGACATTTTGCCTCCTGCAGTCACTCAGATCCACGGTTCATCTGAATATAAACTGAAAGTGAGGAACTTATATAGTCTTCACTGCATCCCGCCTTTAACATGGGGAAACACCCACAACACACTCTCTGAAGAAAAATGCTGCATTCCAAATCTGCATGACGAGTAGATTTATTAGTTTTAACAAATAGGATTTAAAGTGTTTTAAGAACATTATTACACTCTTAAAAGTAATGGCTTATTGTAACCTAACGTTGGGCTAAACATGGGAATAATTTCAATTGAATTGAAAAAATTAACTGAACATTGGTTATATATGATCAAATTTTGGGTTACGAACACCCAACTTTTTTTGTGTATGATTTAAAAACAAACATCAACTCAATATAAAACATCACATGCTAAAAACACTTTTTGATAAAACAGTGCAATGACAGGAATAGACAAGCCAAATATAGCAGCCGAATGTGAAAAAAACAAAAACAAAACAAGTAAAAATACCCTGCACTCTACAGTGGTCAACTGGTTTTGCCATGGGACACACATTTTCACATGGTCATCAAGCCGCCACCCAAATTTTTAGGAACTATAATATAGTTTTAGGATTTTTAATTTAATTGTATTTATTTGTTAACATACACAAGTAGTGACAGACAAATCATGAGAAAATCACTAAGACTTACAAATAAACAATATTTACTGCTGCCATTTAACAAAATGTGTCAAATTATAGAAATTTTACAGAGTAAAAATGTCAAACACTGTAAAGAGTGATCAGGTAAAGGAAAAGTTAAGTTTCCATTAAATAAACAGAGCAGTTTATAAAACATTAACAATAATCCTGTTGAACAGAAGAAAATTAAAGTAAAATGATTAAAATAATCATAACCATTTTTATACTAATCACCAGTTATTTGCTAGCACAGTAAGATGTGCGGAGTGCCTGTACTTGTTTTGAACATGAAGATGTTCGGCACTTTTGTCATGCCATCAGCTGTTGGAGTCGTCTTTGAAAATAGTCCACAGGTTTGTCCTTGCAACTGAGATTTCTGGTTTCTAAATATCTTTTAAATTAGGTTTCATAGGAGAGCACCTCACTACATATGACACACTGAGGTTTTCAGCCTTTTTTTGTCATCAATATTTGTAAAAATCCACACTTTACATCTTCGGGGTTGAACTTGTGCTGAAATTTCACATGTCAAACTGTACAGTTGTCGCACGCACATTTCAAAATAAAAGTCTGATATAAGCGAAATAAGTTAAATGTTAAACTTTTGATCACACACTCTGCGACCCACTGAAAATGTTCCCACGGCCCACTTTTGGGTCGCGACCCACCAGTTGAGAAACACTGCTCTAAACAATGCTAGCCTATTTGGGTGCAATACAGACTTAACCAACTACTGGTTTTATAACTTTTTTTATGAAATGAATAGGATCCAAATTCATCCCAATGTTTGGGTTGGTCCGTATTTGACCCAATTTAGGTTTAAATACCTCACCATTTCTTTAGTATAGAAACAGCATTTACTGTCTTCACATATTGTCAATCAATTTGTCTTGAACCCCATATTTATTTAGCTCATTCAGGTAAATCATGAGTGTACATGTCAGAGGATTATATTACAAAAACAATAAGACAAAGGTGTTTGAGTTCAGTCAGAAGAAAGACAAAGTTAAAACAGTCTCTTGGTCTCCTCCTCTTTTGTGTGTGTGTGTGTGTGTGTGTGTGTGTGTGTGTGTGTGTGTGTGTGTGTGTGTGTGTGTGTGTGTGTGTGTGTGTGTGTGTGTGTGTGTGTGTGAGAAGAATTTCCCTCGAGCATTTTTGGACTGGCCTGTTTACCTTCAGGAATTTAATTAGAAGTTTTTAAAGAGACATCTGCTTCAAACATTAAGAATGCTGAACAACTGTAAGCCTCGACTTCTAGGTAAAACAGAGACGTCGAGGGTTACATGCAAATGACAAACAGGTTTGAAACAAAAGAAGGGAAAGTAAATTATGCCAGAATTTCCAGTCTTGTGTTAAACAAAAGCCTATTTTTTCTGTCTTCTGACTTCTGAAAAAAAAAAAAAAAAATCGAAAGAAGATTCTTTCTTTTGATGAACACAAAATATGATATTTTGAATATTATTATGAATATTTACAACAAACAAGCACGTTTCAACAAATTCATAACCACGTTTGTGTTTTACCATCATGCTTTAAAAAAATGCTAAAATAAAAGCCGCTTTATTTGGTGATCTATAATTAATAATCATAACTCCTGTACAACAGTCCCACAACATTCTGACACTCGATGACACTCCAATCCCCTGTCAGAAAAGTCTAGTGGCTGGGAATGAGGTGTTTACAGTGTCTGCTAAGTGCTAATATATACTTTTGAGGTACCAATATGGACCCTTTAAGTACAAATGTGTACCTTTTATAGAAACACCACCCCAGTAACAGATGGCGTACCTTTATTTCTGAAATTGTAGGAGGTTAAAACTACATATGCGCCATGCCATAAAACATGAATCATTTCTTGAACATGGCAATGAGTTCACTGCACTCAAATGGCCTGCACAGTCACCAGAACTCAATCCAATAGAGCAGCTTTGGGATGTGGTGGAATAGGAGATTCACAAATCTGCAGCAACTGTGTGATGCTATCATGTCAACATAGAGCAAAATCTCTGAGGAGGAGTATGTTCAGTACCTTGTTGACTCTATGCCATGAAGGATTAAAGCAGTTCTGAAGGCAAACCCTTGTACTAGTAAGACATACCTAATAAAGTGGCCAGTGATTGTATATTGTCATGGTTCTTAATAAATATACACTGGATAAAATGATTCATTGGATTGACTAAAAGTTCCTAAGGTACACGGTTGAAAACATTTTATATGGGCTGAATTTATATGGAATAATGCTCAACTTAATTTGTCTAGTTTGCTTGTTTCAATTCAGTCCATTTTAATTGTTTGAAACAATTTTGCAAAACTCTTTTTGTTTCAGTGTAGATCATTTCTTCAGTAAAATGACAACACACTTGCTGCTGTTTAATATACATTTTTAATTGAAACAAATAATATGGATCAACATTGTTGTGGAGACAGAGAAAAATCAGAACTACCACCTCATGTTACTGTACATAAAGCAGAAATGAATACAACATAACCAGTGCTGAATGTGACAAATTAAAAACAGCCATATGCTTTGATCTGTTATGAGACTGCTGAATTAAAAAAACACATACAACACACATATATACTGTGTTTAAAGCGGATACAAACTAGTGTCTATTCAGGAAACCACCACAATATTATCAAAACTAAAAGCTTTTTGTGTTTCGTACACACAGAGCATTCATATACGTGTAAGTCAACATGATGTACAATTGAAGTCAGAATTATTTGCCCCACTTTAATTTTTTTTCTCTCTCTCTTTTTAATATTTCTCAAATGATGTTTAACAGAACAAGTAAATGTTCCCAGTATGTCTGATAATATTTTTTCTTCAGGAGAAAATTTTATTTGTTTTATTTCGGCAAGAATAAAAGAAGTTTTTAATTTTTAAAAAAAACATTTTAAGGTCAAATCATTAGCCCTTTTAAGCTATATATTTGTTCGATAGTCTACAGAACAAGCCATATTTATACAATAACTTGTCTAGTTAACCTAATTAACCTGGCTAACCCTTTAAATGTCACTTTAAGCTGTATAGAAGTGTCTTGAAGAATATCTAGTCTAATATTATTTACTGTCATCATGGCAAAGAGAAAATAAATCAGTTATCAGAAATGAGTTATTAAAACTATTATGATTAGAAATGTGTAGAAGAAATCTGCTGAAAAAAAGAAATCTGAAATAGGGAAAAAATAAACAGGGCGGCTTACAATTCAGACTTTAACTGTATGTGATAAAACTAAACCATCTCATACATAAAACTAGTATGTCCTATTTCCCAGTTGTTCGAAATTCACTGCAGTAAATGTTTACAGTAGTACATTTTTTTCATTTTTTCTCTTTTTCTTTCTCTTTTTCTTTCTCCTTTTCTTTCTCTTTTTCATTGTTCTTGTTTCTGTGTTGTTTTGCTGCACCTATATCTGCTACTTTGGAGATTACGGGCAACAGCCCCCTCATCGGCATCTCCCACAGTTTTCCGTTCTCCTTAGTGCGCATCTCCTCTACTTTATATTTGGGTGCTAAAAGCAAGACGTAAACACAACAGCAGTGAGTTTATATATAGCGCTCAGCATAATTGAGTTCACAGATCTCTCGTTTATGTTGAAACTTTAAATAGGATGCTTCACAGCATGTGTTTCTCAACCACGTTCCTGGAGGACCACCAACACTGCATGTACAGGCCTTTCTGTCTGCTAATGAGCTGATAATCTGGATCAGGTGGGTTTAGTTGAGGAGACATGGAGAATGTGCAGAGCTGGTGGTCCTCCAGGAACGTGGTTGAGAAACACTGCTTTACAGTAATATATTTGTTACATTAGATCAGTCAGTACCAAAGACAAAACTGGAACTGATCTGTCAATAGACCTGAAGATCACTGTTTAAAAGTATAGTACGCCAAAATTAATATTCATACATTTTCTTTTCGGCTTAGTCTCCTTATTAATCTGCCGTTGCCACAGCGGAATGAACTGCCAACTTATGCAGCATATGTTTTACACAGAGGATACCCTTCCAGCTGCAACCTATCTCTGGGAAACACCCTTACACTCTCATTCACAGACATACACTATGGCCAATTTAGCTTAACCAATTCACCTTGAGACGAAGTACCGGTGTGTAAACATTCAGAATGCGCGCAGCGGTGTTGGAGAAAAAAAACGGGAGCACTAGCATTTACATCGAGGGAATGACATCCGATGCGGTTCAGAGTTCATTGTTGTATTAGAGATAAGTTATAATGATTACATTATATATATATATATATTAGGGATGTAACGGTATCAGAATTTCACGGTACGGTAATACCTCGGTATGAATGTCACGGTACGGTATTTATTGAATCATTTACAGGAAAAAACAAAACTTATGAAAATACTCCAAAAAAGTGCCA